TCTACCAGGAGACACATTGTGGTAAAACTGCAGAACATCAAAATCGGTAGAAAACCTTCTGAGCAGAGAAGAGACAAATTACCTAGAAGAGAATGACAGGCAGGTTGGCAGCCAGCTTCCTACTACCAACAGCATATTCCACAGGAAAATGAAACAGTATTTTCATACCACTGTGAGAAAATAACTGTCAACCTAGAATCCTACACCTGACCAACCCAAAACTCAAAAAAGAGTGAGCAGAATAAAAACATGTGTGGACAAAGACAAGGAAGCATTTACCACTCAGAGACCCTCACTGAAATACCTGCTAAAACCATAGCTCATAAGAAAGAAATGTAGTCCAAAGCAAAGGAGAAGATGCTGGATGCAATAATGAGTACCAATGTCAGTATCTAGAGTAATCAATCTAAGTAAATTTGCCTATAAAGAAAACAATAATAATATGAAGAAACAGGAAGTTGGAAACAAGACAAAAGAAAATAGTAGGCACCACGAACATGAAAACGGGAGAAGAGCAGAGTTTGAAAAGTGGGAGCTCCTCACTCTGCTAAGTGAAAAAAGCCAGCCACAGAATGACAAATACGTTGTCATTCCACTTCCATGGGGTCCTGAGAGTAGGGAAAATCATCTAGACAGAAAGTAGCAAGCTGGCTGCCAGGGGGTGGGGAGGCTGGGAGAGTTGTTTAATGAATACAGACTTCAGTTCGACAAGATGTGTCCATCCTGGACATGGATGGTGGTGATGGCAGCACATTATGAATGTATTTAATACCACTGAACTGTACACTTAAAAATAGGAGGAAAAAAATAAAACAAGGCAAAACCGAGAGGGCGACAAACCATAAGAGACTCTTAATCATAAGAAACAAACTGAGGGTTGCCGGAGGGGACGGGGTAGGGGGATGAGGTCACTGGGTGATGGACATTAAGGAGGGCACGTGATGTAATGAGCACTGGGTGTTATATAAGACTAATGAATCACTGACCTTTACCTCTGAAACCAATAAATCATTATATGTTAATTAATTGAATTTAAATAAAATAAAATAAAGAAACAAAACAGAGGATCATCAGGGAAGGGAGGGAAAAATAAAACAAGATCAAATCAGAAAGGGAGACAAACCATAAGAGACTCTTAATCATAGGAAACAAACTGAGGGTTGCTGGAGGGGAGGGGGTGGAGGGGATGGGATAACTGGGTGATGAACATTAAGGAGGGCACGTGATGTAATGAGCACTGGGTATTGTATAAGACTGATGACTCACAGTCCTGTACCCCTGAAACTAATAACACATTATATGTTAATTAATTGAATTTAAATTAAAAAATGTTAAAAAAAGAATAAAAAATAAAATATTCTAGGGAGAAAAAAATAGTTAAGATGGTAAATTTTACATTATGTGTATCTTATGTGTATCTTTCCCCAATTAAAAAAATGGGGGGAAAAAGTGGAAGTCCTTACACTGGGAAATATTCACTTTATACTTAGGTATTGATGGCAAAAATTTAAAGATTACCACCAACAGAAACAAAAAATATAACTTCCAAGTTAGAAAAGGCGGAGAGAAAATAAATAAAAAATCAAATGTAAGGACAAAAAGAGTGAAAAGAATAGCAAAGAGAAAGGAGAGTAACACAAAAACAGAAAATTAGATGGAAGAAAAAATTCCAAATATATCAGTAATAAATGAAAAAAACATTAAAACCACTGGTTATAGTCTCAGTCTGGCACTTCTAAAATTCCAACTGTATGATATTTGTAATAGATGAAAAAAAACATATATCAGGTGAATAGTAACTGCAAAAAGCCAGTGAAGCCCTATTAGTATCAGGCAAAATAGAATTTAAGGCAAATAGAGTTATTCATAAACAAACTAAATGAAAAGGAATTTTGGGGGGTGGGAGGGAGATAGAATGAGCCTGATTCTGTTGTGCTGAACAATATGATCTCAAAATATATAAAGCCAAAAGCTACAAAATTCCAGGAATAAAAAGAAAAATCATAGGGGGCAATTCCAATATGCCTTCCCAGAAAGTGATAAATCACCCAGACCAAAAATTGGTAAGACACAGAAGATTCAAATTATAATTATCAACATTGACCTAAAGGCAATACAGAATCCTGAATCCCCAAAATGCAGCAGAAAGACATACCTTTGAAAAAGTGGAACAAAACATATATCCCAATAGTTTGAGTTAAATAAGAAGTCACGGTAGAAATCACTAGCATAACTTGCTAATATATATATATTATATATCTTATATATATATTAGCTAATATATATAACAACTTGAATATATATATGTATATATATATATGATGAGCTAAGCATTCAAGAAGTCAGAAAAAGGAAAGATAAAACTCAAAGAAAGATGAATGGATACAATAAAGACAACAGGAAGAAATAGAAAGGAATGAAAAACTAAGTTTTTCTGAAATGACAAATCAAATAGACTATTTTCTGATAAGACTGGTCTGGAAAAAGAGACGGCACAAATTAATCAAGGTTAGAAGTAGAAAGGATAATTATTTCAGGTGTAATAGAAATTGAAGAAATGACCTAAGTGAATGCTATAAATCCAAATTTTGAGAACTAAATTTACAATTTTTAGACAAATTTGTCTATATTGTCTCAACAAGAAATAAGAAGTTTAAATATATCTATGTATTTTTTAAACAGCAAAAAATATATCCATATACATTACCAGGCCAGATGATTTTTAATTTTATTTATGATTTTTATCACCAAAGTTCCAGTGAACATATATCCTAATCCTATATAAACTATATTGAAAAGTAAAATAAAAGAGAAATTTCTCAGTCTCCCTTTAGATACTATCATAATCTTGATACTGAAACTACACATAGAGCATCTAAGGAATAATAGCAATGGGAAGCAGAATAGCAGTTGACATACAGTGAATGTTCACAAAGCACTGGGAACTATTCTAAAACCTTTACTTGAGGGTCACCTGGAGGGCTCAGTCAGCTGAACTTGGAACTCTTGATCTTGGCTCAGGGCCTGTTCTCAGGATCCTGAGACTGAGCCCAGCATTGGGCTCTCCACTGCACTCAGTGTGGAGCCTGCTTGTCCCTCTCCTTCCCCCTCTGCCCTTCCACTCACTCAGGCTCTCTCACTCTCTCTCTCTAAAATAAATAAATAAAATCTGTAAAAGCTTTACTTGATTATTTCGTTTAATATCTATGTAGTAGGTGTTACTTGTTAACTCCATTTGGAGAAGAGGTAGAACAGAGAGTTTGCCTAACTTGCCTAAGTTAAGAGTCAGGAAGTGATAGAACAAGAGCTCAAACCTAGCACACTCTCAATGCACAGCCTGCAGTCTTAACCATCATGCTATATTCCCTCCTGTTTGTATCTGTGTTCCAGTAAGCAAATACTAAAGCATGAACACCAAATGAACATAGGTGCAGAAAATAAGTATTAGCACATCTAGTCAAGCAATTTTTATTTTTATTTTTTTTAAGGTTTTATTTTTTTTTTTAAGATTTTTTATTTATTTGAGAGAGAGAATGAGAGAGAGAGAGAGAGCATGAGAGGGGGGAGGGTCAGAGGGAGAAGCAGACTCCCCGCTGAGCAGGGAGCCCGATGCGGGACTCGATCCCGGGACTCCGGGATCATGACCTGAGCCGAAGGCAGACGCTTAACCGACTGAGCCACCCAGGCGCCCCATATTTTTTTTAAGGTTTTATTTAAGAGAGAGAGAGAGAGAGCACAAGCAGGGAGAGCGGCAGGCAGAGGGGGAAACAGTTTCCCCGCTGAGCAAGGAGCCCGATGTGGGGCTTGATCCCAGGACCCTGGGATCATGACCTGGGCAGAAGGCAGACGATTAACCAACTGAGCCACCCAGGCGTCCCACGCAATTTTTATTCTTTAAACATACTTAATAAAACTGGAAACCCACCCATGATTTTAAGAATAAGAAAACATTTAGAAAATTAGGACTGGGGTGCCTGGGTAGCTCAGTCGGTCATGCATCTGCCTTTGGTTCAGGTCATGATCTCAGGGTCCTGGGAGCAAGCCCGACATGGAGCTCCCTGCTCAGCGGGGAGTCTGCTTCTCCCTCTCTCCCTCTGTGCCATTCCTCCCTTCCTCTCTCTCTCTCTCAAATAAATAAAATCTTAGGAAAAAAAAAAAAGAAAGAAAAGAAAATTAGGAATAGAAGGGGAACTTCCTGAATTTGATAAAGAGCATCCAATAAAAGCATATATTTTATGGTGAGACTTTGATTTCCCATTACATTCCTGAAAAGACACAGACTTCCTCCATCCCTGTTTCTATTCAGTATTGAACTGGAAACCATATCAAGTAAAATAGGTCATTAAGACAAATGAAATGCATAAGGATTGGAAAGAAAAAAGAACTGATTTTCAGACTATATTATTATATACATAGAAAATCCAAGAAAATCTCCAATATTAGAATTGAAAAAGATGCTTCAGAAAGACTCCTAGATAAAAGATGAATAAAAAAATTTTTGAACTCTTATTCTATTCATAATATCCACAAAAATATATTCACTCAATAAAAGTTTGAGTATCCAGGCACTGAGTCGTGTACTGGAATAACATGTGCGAGACTTTTATTGGAGAACTTAAACTTTCCTGAAAGATGTGAAAGAAGACCAAATAAATGGAGAGATATGTCATTGTGACAGGACTTAATAACCTATAGGGATAACTCTCTCCAAATTAATCTATACCTTCAGTAAAAGTGCAGTCAAACCCTAAAATAATTTTGATTGGAATATGACAATATGATTCTAAAATTAATATAAAAAAATCACAGGAACAAGAATACCTAAAACAATTTTAAAGAAGAAGAACGAGGCACAAGCATTAGCCCTATAGGATATGAAAATTTATTTTCAAGTTACACAAAGTGAAAGAGCAAGTTCTTGGCACTAAGAGTCACCGAGAGGTGGGGCTGGGGTGACCGCCTGGGGACACAGTTTTACAGGCCCTGCAAAACACACCTACCGTCAGCTTGATCTTTCCAAATCATAAAGTTGAATTCTCTGCTACCCTCCATGAAGAGCTCCTAGAGAAAACAGAAAACGCATTCATTTCCGTGTCTGGACAATGTAAATGGCTTTTTGGCAACAGTCTGTAAAACGGAATATGAAATAGAAGAGTCTTTCAGGTTCCCACGCAGAACAGGCAGCCTTATCAGGAGACAAAATAGAAGTTGAGACGTGCCCTGGCTGGGCCGGGAGAGACACTCGGGAGATGAAGGCCGATCATGGTGACCTTAAATGGCCTTCGTTAATAAGAGGGGGTGCACTTCAGAAAACCAAGATGAGCCATTGGCCACAAAGTAATCCTGGGATAAAGGGTAGTGACATTAATTCCCCTCTTTGCAAGGCAGATTCGGTCTTTTCATTTTCTCTGCTCTCACCCTCTTCTCTTCAAATATCTGGAAGAGATGACATGGGGATCATCCCTTCCCGGAGGCTGAAAAATAACAGTTAGTGAGCCAATTAGGGCAAGAACTCAGTTTATTTGGGCATGAATATTAAATGGGATCCATGACAGATTGAGCGTTCTTATTTCCTTCTATTAGTAGAGTGATTCATAACAGCAAAGACAGGGCTATCCCCAAACACACAGGCATGCCTTTAGTCTTTTCTCTTGGAAAAGACCAATACTCAGCATTTCTCAGTCTCAACCTCTCTCTCTGTCTCAGTCTCTCTCTCTCTCTGCAACAGATACACACCATATACTCTATACTCTTCATCTAAGGAAACCCAACTGCCCGCAGCTATGAATCCACAGTTCCCACTGAATCCAGAGGAATTGTGGGCAGGGCTTTAGGAGCCAGAATGTGACCCACATCCTATTAATCAGTCCTACACCATAGGAATGGAATTTGAAGTTAACAGAAAGAGGCCTGTGCTCTAACCATCTGCTCATTGACTTCAATTCCTTCACATGACAACGAAAGCAGCCAGAGGGCTGGTTGCTTATTAGCAAGACTTCTACTTGCAGCCCAGACCCCCATCTTTTTGTGCTGCCACATAAAGAAAGGCATCGGTCAATAGTCCCTCTCCCCAATGTCTTTACTATATGACTGCTCTTTGATTAGGCTTTTGAGGTCAGAGGACCCCAGCAGCCTCCCCCAGCCCGCTTGGAAAAGATAGTTCAGCGTGTGGACATGGACCACTCTACTGCAGAACTCAAGAACAAATAATGCAGGAAGTTGACCCACAAAGCAGACAGTCTCCTTTCTGATGAATAGTTCTCACTTCAGAAATGTGAAGGCTAATATAGGTAATGCAAGAGCCTGGGACAGCAAGATAAGAGGAAGGAATGAAAATTATTCACTGAGGTTGTAATGACACAGACCATCCCATATCCTGACTTGAGTTGCTCCTCTTGAGTAAAGCTGGTATCACTCCATCAAGTCCCACATACTGGCTCTGGGTTTCACACAATGAGTGGGCAATACTGGCATTTGATGAGTCATTCATTTCTTCATTCTACATTTTACTGAGTGTTATAAACCAGATACCATGCTAGGCTCTGAAAAACCCTGGAGGGAAAAGAAACATAATTGCAATGCAGTGTGGTCACTGGCTAGATTAGATGTATTTGGGGTGCTTGGGTAGGGTGCAGACAAAGTGCCCCAGGAGAGTGGCTTTTAAGGGGGGTGGTGAAAGATTAGTGTATAGGGTATATTGGTGATGCCTCCCCTGGTTCTTTGGTGTATTTCCCCTTCAACAAAAACACTCCCAGAACTTTTTGGCATCACCATAAAGATGAATCTTCCAGGGCACCTGGGTGGCTCAGTTGGTTAAGCAACTGCCTTCGGCTCAGATCATGATCCTGGAGTCCCGGGATCGAGTCCCGCATCGGGCTCCTTGCTCAGTGGGGAGTCTGCTTCTCCCTCTGATCCTCCCCCCTCTCATGCTTTCTCTCTGTCTCATTCTCTCTCTCAAATAAATAAATAAAATCTTTAAAAAAAAAAAAGATGAATCTTCCATCTGTTTTTGAAGCATTTCATTGTACCAAAATGAAACGATTCCAGTTAAAGATGCTCTATTTCTCTGAAATGAATAAACTATCCCGAATGTTTTTAACTGCTTAAAACATTTTTAATCACAAAAGTAATATGTGTTTTCCATAGATACTCTGGAAAATACAGAGAATGATAGGGGAAAAGTAAAAATTACCAAGAATCCAGGTATTAGAGAAAATACTATCGCTGTTTTGTTACTGTTTTATTTTCTCTGAACAGACTTTTGTTTCGTTTTGTGTAAAACTGGAATCATATACTGTACACATAATTTTTTAACTCTTTTTTTTTAAAAAAGATTTTATTTATTTTTTAGAGAGCGAGCGAGAGAAAAATAGCATGAGAGGGGCGAGGGTCAGAGGGAGAAGCAGGCTCCCCACTGAGCCGGGAGCCCGATGTGGGACTCGATCCCAGGACCCTGGGATCATGACCTGAGCCAAAGGCAGACGCTTAACCATCTGAGCCACCCAGGTGCCCTTAACTCTTTTTTTTAACTTAACATTCTATTCTAAGCAATTGCCACATCCTTAAATACTATTTGAAAATAGTACTTCTAAGGGCTGGAAAATGTTCTATCATATGGATGGGCCACAATTATTTCAACTATTTCTCCACTGGTGGAAATTTATGTCACATCCATTCTTTGGCTCTCCATGCTGCAATGAACATAAATCTATCTGTGCATCTATGATATTTCCTCACAACAAATTTCTAAAAGAACAATAACTGGAACAAAGGTCATGCATATTTTTAGGATTCTTGCTATATGCTACTGAATTTCTCCCCAGAAATACAGACATAGTACCTACTACCCAGTGGGTATTTAATAAATATATATTAGGGGCGCCTGTGTGGCTCAGTCAGTTAAGCGTCTGCCTTCGGCTCAGGTCATGATCCCAGGGTCCTGGGATCGAGCCCCACATCCGGCTCCCTGCTCCGCAGGAAGGCTGCTTCTCCCTCTCCCACTCCCCCTGCTTGTGTGCTCGCTCTCTCTCCCTCTCTCTGTCAAATAAATAAATAAAATATTTTTAAAAAATAAATAATAAATATATATTAATGAATGAATAAATAAATAATTTTTACAATTCTCCATAATATTCTTGCTAGAAACTGCCATACTTGAACCACAGGAAACTACATAACCTTTGTGGAAGTGAAAAAACTATTGGATTAGGGGAACTAATAAACTAATAAAATTGTAATTACCTCTGAAAAGAATAGACCAAGAAGTATTTCTAAAGTTGAGTTATGTATTTATCTGATAGAAAATTGGGTAGCCAAAATAACGTTGCAGAAGAATAATTATTGCCATAGGAAAATGTGAACTATGTATCAAAGGTAGTCTCCAAAGTCGTAAGTATATGATCGCATTTTTGTGGAATATCTATATGTATGTATACATACATAATATATATGTATACTATGTTGTATATAACATTAGAAAACCAAACACTAAAATATTAACGGTGATTCTGTGTGCTGTATTATGGGTCATTTTTTCCCTTTGTGTGTGTGTGTGTGTGTGTGTTCTAATTCTTGTGCATTAAGAATGTATTACTTTTTTTGAGAGAGAGAGCACATGCGTGCATGTGCGAGCAGGGAGGGGCAGAGAAAGAGAGTGAGGGAGAATCTTAAGCAGGCTCCACGCCCATTACACAGCCGACATGGGGCTCAAGCTTACAACCCTGAGATCATGACCTGAGCCCAAATCAAGAGTTGGACACTTAACCAACTAAACCACCCCTACTTTTTTTAATTAAGGAAAAACAAACGTTTTTAAATGCTGAGTTACCAGGGAACTAAAAGAAATGTTTTTTACAGCTAGAAATCTGACTTAGAGACAGTAAACAAAATAATAAATAGGAAGTTCTTCCTCTGCAGGTCTATGAGTCCCCTTGGCTGCCATAACAAAATACCATAGACTGGATGGTTTAAACAACAGAAAGTAATTTTCTCACAGTTTTGGAGGCTGAGGTCTGAGATCAGGGTGTTAGCATGGCAACTTCTCATGAGGACCCTGTCCCTGAATGCTCACATGGCCCTTCCTTGGCGCATGTTCTTGGAGAGAGAGCAAGCTCTCTGATGTCTTTTCTTATGAAAGTACCAATCCCATTGTGGGGGCCAAACCCTTACAGCCTCTTCTAACCCTAATTACCTTCCAAAGACCTCCACATACCATCCAAATACCATCACACTGTGGGTTAGGGCTGCAGTGTATGAATTTTGGAGGGACACAAACACTCATCTGAAGCAGAGGGTATCCTCCAGAGATTAATAGTATGATACATTCAAGTTCACATTTTTTAAATGAAATATTTAGAAGAGTGCTAGATGATATAATACAAGGAAAGAAAAAAAACCATGAACAGGACACAATCCTGCCCATCAAAGAGACACATTCTTATAGGGGAAGACAGAATATTACAACCAGTGCAACAGAATTCTAACAAAAATATATACTAGCACATATTTGAGTGAAGAAGGGGAACATAAAAAGCTCTTAGTCTGGGAACAATCAGGAAATGTTTCTAAAAAGAAGTGAAACTTAAGCTGAGTTTTTTGGGGGAAAAAAAAAAGTAGGACGAGTCAAGTGTGTGGAAGGCTGTGCCAGAAAGAGGGAACAGCTTGTAGCAAGGTGTGGAGGTGCTGGAAAACATCACTGCACACATGTGGAGGGATGAGGCAGGAGGGGCTCGAGAAAGGGCTCCCATCTCTAACGTACATCTCAACAGAGACTCAATGAGCTCAACTGGAAGGAACCAGTGTGCCATGCTAAGTTCAAAGTTTACCTCAAGAACCATGCAAAGTACTAAATTTTAAGGAGAGAGGAGCAAGAAATGACTAAGGATTTAGAAATATCCCTCTGGTAACAAAGCGGAAGAGAACAGCTTAGATGCCATTTTATAGAATGGAGACAGAAAGCCAGTTTAGAGGTTCTCCTAATAATTCAGAAGAAAAATAATGAAGACCCTGACCCAAGGCACACGTATTTATTAGGAAAAAAATTAGGTAGTTATTGTCAAACA